CCCCCTCCCGTCAGTCTCAGCCCCAGGGGCCCATGGGCCTGGCTGGTGGATGGAGCCTCTGAACAAATGAGAACGCCCCCCACTTTCTCTGGCAGGCGCAGCCCCTCGGGGCTCACACACAGCAGTGAGCACAGGGGGGAGATTTCAGCCCCTCCAGCCCCCCATCCTGCGGCAGGGCCAGGAGTCTCCTGTCCCCACGGGCAGCGCCCTGCTGAGCTCAGAGTCAGGGCCAGGCCTGTCCCCGAGCCCTGGGCCAGGGGTGGGCGGACCCTGGGGGCAGCACCTGTGCAGTGAGCCAGGAGGCCGAGGAGGAGGGGGGTCCAGGCCATGGTGGAGGCACCCCGAGTCTGCTCCCCGAGGCCTAGGCTGGGCAGGGCGCCTCCCAGGCCTCTCTTATCCCCTTGCTGGAGAGAGAGCTGTCGGGGGTGCGAATCAGCCAGAGCCCAGGGGGTCTGCCTGGGGAGCTCTGTGGTTTCAGAGAAGGGCTCAGTCCCCGGGGACACAGAGAGGGAGGGGTGGCCCCTGCAGACCCCGCCTCGGCCCGGGGGATCCTCCTCCACCTGCTGTCCCATAGTCTGGGGGTGACATCTCCAGCCCAGTCTGAGTCCTGGCCTCACTCCTGGACGGGCCTGGCCACTGAGAGCTCAGAGGTGGGTCTGTATTCTCTGAACCTATTCTGTGGGTGACAAGCTGGGATTTAGATAGGGGTAAGGTCCTGCCCTGGATCACAGTTCTTCAGTGACAGAGGTCTTAATCCCTAAATAATAGCCTCTTCTGAGTGTTCTAGAACATGTCTGGGTTAGGAGGCGGTGTGGGAAATTCTCAACCTAAATTGTAGATTCTTCCTGTCAGTTCTCCCTGCTGCCTGAGGGCGGCGCTGCTGCACCTGCCCTGGGGTGGGGGTCTGACACCTGGGAGGCTGACAATGCCCTGCTCCCCGTGAAGCTGAACAGAAAACCCAAGGACAACACACTTCAGATTCAAAGCGACTAGTGCAGCATTTTCATGATCTTTTCTCTGGAATTACTGCTTAGGTCTTAGGGATCCGGTGCATAAAATATCATCTGTTGCTGGTTCATGGTCCATTAGTGTGACAAGTTAATTGTACATTTAATAACCTGTAATTGTCAATACATTTTAAAAATAAATTTAGTTATTTTATTTATTTATTTTTGGCTGCGTTAGGTCTTTGTTGCTGCGCGTGGGCTTTCTCTTGTTGAGGTGAGCAGGGGCCACTCTTCATTGCTGTGCGCGGGCTTCTCATTGCGGTGGCTTCTCTTGTTGCGGAGCACAGGCTCTAGGCACGTGGGCTTCGGTAGTTGTGGCTTGCAGGCCCAGTAGCTGTGGCACACGGGCTTAGTTGCTCCGCAGCATGTGGGATCTTCCCGGACCAGGGTTCAAACCCGTGTCCCCTGCATTGGCAGGTGGATTCTTAACCACTGCACCACCAGGGAAGTCCTGTCAATACGTTTTCTTTTTTTTTTAAGATTTTTTTGATGTGGACCATTTTTTAAATTTATTTATTTATTTATCTATTTATTTATTTTGGCTGTGTTGGGTCTTTGTTTCTGTACGTGAGCTTTCTCTAGTTGCAGCGGGCGGGGGCCACTCTTCATCGCGGTGTGTGGGCCTCTCACTGTCGCGGCCTCTCTTTTTGTGGACCACAAGCTCCAGACGCACAGGCTCAGTAGTTGTGGCTCACGGGCCTAGTTGCTCCATGGCATGTGGGATCTTCCCAGACCAGGGCTCGAACCCGTGTCCCCTGCATTGGCAGGCAGATTCTCAACCATTGCGCCACCAGGGAAGCCCTGTCAATACTTTTTGAACATAATTGTTCCCCATGTGGTCTCCATCCTCCAAGTTAGACCTCAGCTCTCATGCTAGACAGGGATGTACCTGGAGGAAATTTCTGGCTTTTCTTTTCAAAACAATCCACAGGTGACATGTTTATATTTCCAATGTGGACATTTCCCCTGCAACCTCTGGAATTCTGTGTCAGGTAGGAGATTTATGTGCCCCTTTTCCAGGTTGTCACATGGTTATTTAAATATTCTCCAGGGAAATGGTCTTCTTGTGAAAAGTTCACTATTTTTGTAGGTCATCCAGAAATTTCCTCTTGCACCTCTAAGAGTTTGGACAGTGGTTTGGCTAGCAAACCACTGAGGCTGTCAGGATTTTCTTTTTTTACGTGAAGGAGAAACATATCCAGCCAACGAATGATGGGTTAATAGCTGTCCAGGTCCCAGCCCATTTCCTCCCTGGACGCTGTTTCAGATGAAGACAAAGATTTTGGTATAACTTAGGTGTCCACTGTGAAGGCTGGGGTAGCACTTTGAAACAGAACAGGTGTTCTTGTTGGTTGGTCCCCATCATTTTTTTGTAGCTGACTTTTAAAATTGAAATATATTTGCCGTATAACACTGTGTAAATTTAAAGTGTACAACATGGTAATATGTTACATTCGTATATTGTCCACTGTAGCCATAATTAACACCTCTATAACATTACATAATTATTCTATAAAATTGAATATTTTTTCTATTGAATTATAGTTGATTTACAATACTATATTAGTTTTGGATGTACAACAGTGATTCGATATTTATATAGATTATATTTCATTTAAAGTTAATATAAAATATTGGCTATATTCCCTGTGCTATAAAGTATGTCTTGTAGATTATTTATTTTATACATAATAGTGTGTACTTCTAAATCTTTACCGTATCTAGCCCCTCCGCCCTTTTTCTCCCCACTGATAATAACCACTTGTTTGTTCTCTATATCTATGAGTCTGTTTCAGTTTAGTTACATACATCCATTTGTTTTCTTTTTTTCTAAGATTCCATCTATAAGTGATTACATACAGTATTTGTCTTTCTCTGTCTCACTGATTTCACTAAGAATAATGCCTTCCAGGTCCATCTGTGTTGTTAGAAATGGCAAAATTTCATTTGGCATTTAATATTCCATTGTATACATATACCACATGTTTATCCATTCGTCTGTTGATAGACACATAGGTTGCTTCCATGTATTGGCTCTTGTAAATAATGCTCCTATGAACATAGGAGTGCATGTGTTGCTTTGAATTATTGTTTTCATTTTCTTTGGATATATACCCAGGAGTGGAAATGCTGCATCTTATGGTAATTCTATTTTTCATTTTTTGAGGAAACTCCCTACCGTTTTCCATAGTCGCTGCATTCCCACCATCAGTGTAGTCGGGCTCCCCTTTCTCCACATCCTCACCAACATTTGTTATTTGTATTCTTTTTGATGATAGCCATTCTGACAGGTGTGAAGTGACATCTTATTGTGGTTTTGGTTTGCATTTCTCTCATGATTGGCCAGGTTGAGCACCTTTTCATGAGCCCGTTGGCCATCTGCATGTCCTCTTTGGAAAAATGTTTATTCAGGTCTTCTACACATTTGTTTTTGGGTTGTTTGTTTTTTTGATATTGAGTTGTATGACCTGTTTATATATATTTTGGATCTATAAGCCCCTTATCTTTCATATCATTTGAATATTTTCACCGATTCAGTAGGTTCCCTTTGTCATTTTCTTGATGGCTTCCTGTCTTCTGCAAAGGTTTTTTTTTTTAATTAATTAATTTTATTTTATTTATTTTATTTTTTTGGCTGCGTTGGGTCTTCGTTGCTGCATGTGTGCTTTTCTCTGGTGGTGGTGAGCAGGGGCTACTCTTCGTTGTGGTGCACAGGCTTCCCTTTGCAGTGGCTTCTCTTGTTGTGGAGCACGGGCTCTAGGCATGCGGGCTTCAGTAGTTGTGGCACACAGGCTCAGTAGTTGTGGCTCGCGGGCTCTAGAGCGCAGGCTCAGTAGTTGTGGCACACAGGCTTAGTTGCTCTGTGGCATGTGGGATCTTCCCAGACCAGGGCTCGAACCCATGTCCCCTGCATTGGCAGGTAGATTCTTAACCACTGCACCACCAAGGAAGCCCTGTGCAAAAGTTTTAAGTTTCATTAGGACCCATTTGTTTATTTTTGGTTTTGTTTTCTTTGCCTGAAGAGACAGATGGAAAAATATTACTACAATTTATGTCAGAGTCTTCTGTCTATATATCTATTTTTTGGGATAAAATCAGATATTTAATCCCCCTGGCATTTGTCATTTACTCACTTTTCACTTTAAAATGGTCCCCATATACAACACCTACACATGGGCAGATCCTGAGGGATCTGGGATTCAAACCCAGCTCAGGGCCAGAGTGATATTTTCCTTGAGTTAAGAATTTGATGGGTAGAAGTGACATGTGTTCAGGTGGAGCAAAGGGGATTCACACGTAATAAATCCGGGTCTTTGCAGCTGCTTAGCACAGGCTGGAACCCTGGGAGCAGGAACAGGATTGACACAGGCGGGTTGAGACAAGCCCCTTGGCCATCCCTATTTCACCTGGGGTCTGAAGGCCTTCAGGGAAGGGGTTACTCCTCCTTCTCCTCTGCCCGGTACTCACCATGAAGCAGTGCTGGGGCTTTAGCTGCTGCATGTGCCTCTGGTCCTGAGCCCTGTCTACTGTCCTGTGTGGGTGACTAGTCACCGCCTTCCCCAACTGTCTGTAGATTTGCTGCTGTGATTGGGAGCAGAGGACTTGGGGAGCACACTTGACAGGGAAAGGCAGGGTCTGAGAGAAGGAATAATAATGCCAAATTCACTTGGGGAGGAAGATGGTTTTTCTGGTGGAACGTTAAAAACATTCTCCTGAAGTCTTAGGTTAAAGAGATCTTGCTTGAAAATTCTGGATCAACATGACTTGCCTTGTGATGGTCATCACTAGCTCAGCCTCCAGTCTGGTCTTTGTCGCTCGTCTGCTCTGCCCATGGTCAGCGGAGAAAGGAGCGGCTCTTCCTACGGGGAAGGGAAGCCCTGTCCGTGGTGCTGATCCAGGTTCCGTGCCCTGGAAGGACCATGCGGGGAGGAAGGTGGAGCTGGCTACTCCAGGCTGATTCAGCTCCCCGTTAGAAGCTGTCACTATGAAACAGGTACATTAGACCAGACTATACAGAAGTCCTCAGTCTCTTCCTTTGGCTGCACCCCAGCGATGGTGAGCGCAGCTCTGTCCCCAAGGATGGAGCCTGAAAAGCAGCTGGGGATGGATGCCGGGCATTTGTCCGTGTGGTGTATGGGCTATACAGGATTTTGGCCAGGTTTCTTCAGGAGCCATCCTTGAGCATTCGCAGTTGTGCTGGATCCTGTACTCACAGAGCCGGTGAGGGTGACTGTCAGTCCGGACAACACCGTGAGGGAGAGCTCCTGGGTCACCGCAGGCTGGGAGCTGACAGCTGACGAGAACAGAAGGAGACGCCCATGGGCACCACAGTTAGGGTGACTCCTCCACAGGGCCCCTTGCCCAGGCCCCTTCCTCAGAGCCCAGGGAGTCTGCCCTGACCTGTGCAAAAGCCCATGAAGGGGGCACTGGTCCAGGACATGTTGGTGATGCTTCTACATGCACTGCTTCTTGAGGACCTCACAGCTGGAGCTGGACTCCTTCAACTTAAATCTCCTCTTCTCCATCTCTTCAGTGAAGGGCAGCCCTCATGCAAATCCCCCACCCAGCTTCCTGCTTGCACCAGGGCTGCCTCCCAGCTGGGTAAACACCTGCAGATGAAGAGTGGGTGGAGGGGTGGTGAGGGCTTTGTGTCTGTTTTCCTTCAACAGTCGCCCACCCTCTCTGGGTGTGAGGGTCGTCACAGCTGCTGAGGCATGCTTGGGGACCACTTACGGGAGAATGAAAATGGTGTCATTTGAAAAGATGCACAGCTGGGCCAGTTCCCCACAAACAGAGATATGGACTCACAGTGTCCCCTACTTCTCAAATGTCTGAAAATCTCCTTTCCCAAAAGAGACTTCAGGCCTGATAGACTTGACTTTGGGTCTCTGGTTGATTCCCTCTAAAATGAACCTCAGTCTTTTCTTGAAAGTCTCTAAATAAAACTTCTCTGTCTCAAATCCAAGCTCTATCTGAGCTTAGAAGTCCTAGAATCCAGCCAGTAGCTCTGTATCAAATGCTGTCTGTGTCTTCTATTACATTCTGACATGAAGAGAATGTATGTGGACTTTTGGAGACACGCTTTTTGATTCCCCACAAAGTCTGGTTGTTTATGGACGTGAGGAGTAAGGGCACCTGGGACTCATTGCTCCGGGTTGGGTGTCTATTAACTAAATCTTTTTCCAAGCCTCATGGGGGCAACTGAGGGAGGATGGAGTGGGGGATGTGAACCTACTCTTCTGGACTCGGTTGGATATTTTAGGCATGTCGATTCTATCAGATGGTGGCCCCCACATTGTAAGACGGCTCAGCATGGTGCAGGGATTTGGGAAGCTGAGGCAGAAATAAATCTATGAAGATTATTTGCCTCCTGGAGATTTGAACCCTAAATGGAGCCCAAGCACCCCCAGAGAAGTGACAGTGAAAGGGAACAAGAGATGAAAGAAAACAAAGCTGTTTGCTTAATATGAGCATGTGCGCACGTGTGCGTGCGCACGCGCGCACGCACACACACACGTACTCATAACCAAATGAAGAGGAAACACTCATGACCATTCAGTCCTCATTTCTGTGACTGGTCACACAGTCATAGGTGGTATTTATAACTACTTTCTTCTCCTATCCATTCTGTATTTCCTCTGCCTTCAGCAGGCACCTCAGCTGGTCGTGGTTCTTGACTCGATGGGGTGATGCAAACTTTCATTCCCAGAGGCTATTCTGGGCTATTAGCAGAACTGTTTGGACTGCCGGGTCGACCTTGGTTTGTGGTGACCTTGGCCCATGTTGCTGAGTCCATGCATAATCTCTGTCGCTGTCAACATTGCCACTTGGTTTGTGAGACCATTGGATGAAGACAGAGGTGGCTGGGAAAGGATGCTGCCTGGAATCCACAGAATGGGCCATCCTATCCACCTGATTATTAAAATTCTCCTCTGCTGAGGTCACGCATTGGTGAACATTCACATTGGACGCAAATATCTTCACGTAATTTTTGCCCTTTCAGAGAGGTCTATCCACGTACCTCTTCCCAAATTTATTTATTTAAATTAATTTTTTGTTGGAGTATAGTTGATTTACAATGTTGCGTTATTGATAGTTTCTGCTGTACAGCAAAGTAAATCAGCCATATGTATACATATATCCACTCTTTTTTAGATTATTTTTGCATATAGGTCATTACAGAGCACCAAATAGAGTTCCCTGTGTTATACAGTAGGTTCTTATTAGTTATCTTTTATATATAGTAGTGTGTATATGTCAATCTCAATCTCCCAGTTTATCCCCTCCCTTTCCTTCTTAACCGTAAGTTTGTTTTCTATTAATACATCTGTGACTTAATTTCTGTTTTGTAAATATGTTCATTTGTACCATATTTTCTAGATTCCACATATAAGCGATATCATATGATGTTTGTCTTTCTTGGTCTGACTTACTTCACTCAGTATGACAATCTCTAGATCCATCAATGTTACAAATTTATTTTTTCACCAACTTTCCATCACATTCCTTCCAAGTCCGTGACCATCCAGCCAAACCAATGACTCGATATATAATTGCACGTCGGGCCATTTCTCCCTCCAGAATGCACAGCCAGGTGCACTGTTGGAGGGTCTGCCTGTGGGGAGGGTTTCCTTTCACCGTGTCCTTCAAGGACGTCCTGGAGAGGGGCTGTCATACTGCAGCTGTCCACTTCTGTGCACTTTGATGTATGTGCCTTGGTGGGTCAGACACCACCCAGTTCACGGTGGGCAGTTCAGGCCACACGGTAACTATATTCGGGATCTGGAGAAATAACCACAGACTGGATTCGGGAGCCCATGGGAGCCACTGTGAGACAGACCTGAGAAGAAATTCCATTGATCACCCCATCTCCACAAGCCCCTTCTCTGGAGGCCACAGTGGTGTTTGGGGGTCCCAGAATCAATATCAGTTCAGAGCCAGCATCCAGCAGTCCCTGAAAAGTCTGATTCTTTTGTTTTTCCCTGTACACAGTTACCCTGATAGTAGGCTATTGGTCCCCTTGGGGAAGACTGGGAGGAAGATCACAGTGTACCTTTTTGATAGTGTGCTAGGGTCCTTCCTCAAGGGCACTCAGCCTCTGCTTCATTCATGGGGTTCTGGGTCTGTAAACTGCTCAAGGCTAGGAATTAACCGAGGGGCCGTGACTCTCTATTTTTATGATTTTAGTTAGACTTTTGTTCACTTGACCCAGAAGGTTTTCTGACCAAGTAGGAATTTAGCAGTCTTCCCACCTTTTTCACTTTTAGAAATACCACGATGAACAAGCCATGACATAGATCTGTATGCGTCACACTCTTCTCATGGCTGCTGTGACTCCGCTGTGACAGTAGCCTTGCCCTTGGCAGGCGAGGGCCGCCCCTAGGCCCCTGCCACCCAGGATCCAATTCCTCTCATTGTGTTTAGGATTTCCAGCTAAGGGGCTGCAGTTCCCATTATAAGGTCTGGCCTAGACAAGGGTGAGCACAGAGTTCTTCAAGGATGCTGAGGTTCCCCTCACAGATTTGATTCTTAAAGTGTTGGTGAGAAGCACGTCTTCTAGACCCTCCCGGAGTCGGTAGCAGGTCTTAAAACACAAATCCACTCTAACATTACAAACTCCCTACCTTTTGTCTCCAGGCAGGTCTGGCTTCTCTAGTTCACTCACTAGAGGCC